AGAAGTCTGACGTCATTGGCCGAAGCAGCCAAGAGAAGAAGTCTGACAACAGTGTCAAAAAACAGGGCCGGAGCAGCCGTCACTCGGCCGAAGATGACCCATGGGCGCCAGCTGTAGGCCCACAGGCGGGATGCGAGCGCCCAAGTGTTAGCGCTACGGCGTGTGCGTGTACGGTTGTGTTGCGAGAGGTGGAACCCAGCGGTTTAATCTAACATGAAATCAAATATCTCAAACAGTTACAAAAATATCGCTAAGCAAAGCAGAGTATCTGAAGTGTCGTTTTTCCTATTTCGTCGCCATGTTTTTGACCTTGGCAAAAGCCCCCGTCCGGCTGTCCAATTCAAGGCGGGTGAATCACCGTGAGCACCCAAACTCGACAGGAGGGCGGGGCATTGAGAGTGAAGAGAGAAACCCAATGATACCCAATGTATGTTGTTTGTTTTAACATGCAAAGAGTGACTTGAAATGGTACCGATAACATGGCATTGAGGATGTAACTTGACCAACAGCTGCAGAGTTGAATTGAACATGGCCCTTGGTTTGACGGCCTCTACGACATGCTCTGCCCAAGCAAAACCAGCGAAAACATTTCAAAACATTGCATGACGTGGGGTTCAAAATCAACGTTCTCTCCGCATGTGTCAAGACAAATTCTCTCAGTCACACCAATCACCGATTTCTTTCTGACGACAGATCAATCATGCATTGTCATCTTGAGTAACCTGTATCTTCTGCAAAAAAATGAAAATGCATTCTATGCAGGTCAATCATGAAAATGATCTGAAGATTCGCAAAAAAATGGCCACCATGTTTTGTGGCACGTCGTTTCACCATGGGCGAACGGACCAAAAAAAGAACACAGCCTGCTGTGATTTTACATGCAGGATTTAGCAGGTTGAGCAAACAACAGTTGTGAAGAGTCGGAGTGTTCATCAAATGAATGGTTCGTTCTTCCAAGTTCGGACTGACGTCGCGACAGATGGGAAACGGCTCCTGCCTTCAGGGGTCGAGCAATGACCTCCCAGTGCAACTCCCACATGTCCTGACCACAGGAAATTCGTGCACGGAGGCACCGGCTGGCCATCCGATTGGTTTGAAGAGGGCATCGAAGTGGAGCGCCAAGTATCATGGCAGAAGTGGAACTATCAGTATCAGGGCGGTGGTGCTTGTGGAAGTAGTTCCTCGCATTTCTCCGGACCTGGCTCCAAATTTCTTTCTAAGAGACACATCGATGAGTTGTATTGCATTGCGATTAGATCATCGAACAACCTCACGCCCCGAGGGGCATGGATGTTTTGACCCGTCCCACCTGTCCCACTCGGTTCTGTCCTCGTGCTTGTCGATGGTCCGGTGCAAAAAGCAAGGCAAACCCTTGGAGGAATGATGCACCATGGTCTCGCCTCTCCGACGACTCGGACGCGGGTCTCGCCGGCGAGAGCGGGTCTCGGGTCACGTCCCTTCGGGACGGGCCGGGGGGGAGTTGAGTTGGGTCTCGTGGAGCCAGGAAGGCGGAGCGTTTGGGCAACTGGGTAATGCCTAAGAAGAGTGATGATGGTGATGCCTTTAGAAGGGGCCCCTACGGCTAAAAGAACTGACACAAGTCATGTGATCACAGAATTACAATGATAACTGATCCGAAATTGATCCCAAGAACATGTCAACTTGGTGTATGACCATCCTCCGCATGAGTCGAAGAAGTTCTTTGATGTCCAAAATCAAAGCAAAACAAAATCAAACCCCTGCAAATGGCAGCTACTGCCTGCACAAACCGCTGCTTTTCCCACTTCCTTCAACCATTATGCCACACCCCGAAAAACACGCTCCTCGTCCGCCCGAGACGACATCGCAGCAATCGGCCTACAAAAGGCCCATGCACCGTGCCGGAGCGTTCGGGCTGCAAACGCCCAGCGGCTGCAGGTAGCGGACACCTCGTCGCAGAGACTGGCGTGTCCCGCACCGAACACTGCACTGCACCTGGACACTGCTCTCAGCACGGCGCACTCAGTTTGGGAAAATCTATACCTTGAATGACACCCAGATCATGAGTACAATGACCAACAATTCAAACCGTATTCAACTTCCAGGTGACCTGCTTGTGATTCAATATTGTCTGAGAATTGACCCGTGGTTTCAACTGTTGCCCTCTACAACCCACGCAACCCAATGCTTTTTGGAGGTTCCATGTGGCCCTCTGCAGGAGAGGACCTGCCCCCCACCACGACCGGCCAAGGTGCATGCCGAAGTCATGGCCTTCCAGTCTCCACGCGATCTGGAAGAGGTCCTCAAAACGATCGGGACGGGCCTGGTCGTTGACGTGTTTGTTGACTTCTCGAATCGTGGACCGTCGGACCCTCACATGTCACCGCACATGTCGTGCCGACACTCGTCGTTTTGGTGCATGGTCTGGGAACAACACAAACACATATATCATGCCTTTACTTCGGTTGTCTCGAGAAATTCATGGCCCATGACACACATTGAACCCAATCTCACAACCTTGGACATGCACCCAAATGTCACACATGCCCAAACATGTTGCACCCGCTTCAACGCCTAAGAGCAACTCTTCACCAAAAAACCTGCGACCTGGCGGGCCTCCGGCCGATCCCGGGCTCAGCTCATCGGCCACTCCAAACCAGTGCGGGTCGGCCACTCCTTGTCACCGCCATCGCCCGGCAAATAGGCCGACAACTCCCTGGCCGCGCGGGACCGACCACGACCGACCACACAGCACACAGCACGCCGTTGCAGGGTCACCACGTCTCACCCCCGTGCAGGGTCACCCCCCGTGTGTTTGCCCAGCGAAGGTGCATGATGACTCGGTGTGGGTGTGTTTTTTTGGAGTGGAAACGCTGGGAGTGGTCACAGTGATGATCACCTGATGACACCTGATGACGGATGTCGTGCTATTTTCCATGCTGTTGTGTTAGAACCTGATTGAAATGAGTTGTGGAAGCTCCGAAGGCATTTAGTTGCGGCTTTGAAGGACTGTTGTCAGCCTGAAGTCTAGAACCTCCTAGAAGTTGATCTGAAGAAACTCCGTTCCAGTGAACAAAGAGTGGTTCAAGGTTCATACAAACGGGGCAAATCTGGAGATTTTAGATGATGTAGCCACATATGACCACCTCACCTGCTTTAGACGGACCAATGTCTCAAAATACCTGCTTCCACCTCCAAAATCTGCAGAGTATGACAGAACACATCTTCTTCAGTCACAGGCGATGACCGCGAGTGCTGTAGAACCATCGTTCGGTCCCATTCGGTCGCGAACTCGGACCGAACGGTTTGGACCACTGGGACTGGGGACCGCCGGGACTGGGGTGGCTTGGTCTCGGTTCTCGTCTTGGAGCTCGGCCTCAAGTGCAGGGCCATGCTGGCTGCCTCAGGAGAACACACGCTCGTTGCCATCTACGGGCTGCGGGCTCTGCGGGCTTGGACAGAGAAGTGGGCGAGAAGAGAGGAACCTGCGTCAATGTTCCCGCGCTTGCTATGGATCGCTTTGGGGTACTCTTGGACGTTTGAAAGATCCATCTACAACTTGGTCATTCATTCTCTTCATACCAGGCATGGCTACCTTGGCAGTTTCCGACTTCGAGCTCCGCAGGAAGCGGTCAGCGGATGAAGCAATCGAGCTCCGAGCTGAGCGTCCGGTCCAGAAGACTGGTCGACCGCGGCACTTCGTTCATGTCCGCTCCGATCCGAGATTTGGACCGCGGATGTGTTGAAACATATATCAAACTGGTTCACCTCTTGGTTTGAACGAAACTCATTGGCCAAGACTTGAAGCAGGATTAATGCTCTTGTCCAAGGAAAGAATGCAAGATCCAAGTACTAAGTACTGTTTTCCGTATGACCATATGATTATTGAAGCAGCATACCCGATGTTCTCAGTGAGCAACATGTTCTTCATTCAAACTCAAAGATAATCAAAATAGAATGTGAACCGCCTCTTGATAGGAGAAACGGTGCAAAAAAAGAACAACAAACAACACCATCTGATTCGATATCCCCAACAAAACAAGTCTTGCGTGTGTCCAAGCTGCGCGACGGATTGGCGCCGCACATCTGTCCTTGTCCACGAGCCTCGAAGGACAAACTTCCAATTCCGTGCCGAAGGACTGGGCGTTTTGAGGGTCTAACCCTCTAACCCCTGCCCTTCGTCGGTGGAACCCATTTTTCGTACATGTTAATTTATGCAATTGATATTGATATCTTCAAATAAGAACATATACTGTCTGCAATGCTTTTGCACCAGGTCTGAACGGTGATTCTTGGATCGTGCCACATATGAGGGCAGCCTGGATTTTCTCTGTAAGGCCCTCGTCGGAAATGGACAAGTGCAAAAGCGGTGTGAAGAGCTGTGACGACATGTTCGTCATCTCTGAGCTTCAACATCTTGGACACAGGTAACTATGATGTGACAAAACAGCTTGCAAAGCTCTGAAACTGAGGAGGCAAACAGCTGTCCACTTTCTTGTTCCCACCTGGCTGCATCAAAGAGGGCTAGTCGGAGCAGGTTCGAATGAGAACACCTTGCCTACCAGCGGGGTTCTTGTGAGATTGCATCTTTCCCCACTCCCACCCGTACTGAGGCTGGACGTCATGCTTGATGATTCTTAGCCGCAAAGCGGGCGGTTTTTTGATTCACTTGGAGTCTGCAGGTCATGTTGCAAGTTGAAAATAACACCAGCTATATTCGATGGAACCCACCAACTTGTTGAAAACACATGATTTGTGGCTAATCCTTGGAGATCTTCCATTCCAACTACCTCAGGATCAATTTGTGTCGGATTAAAAAGAACATCATCCTAAAACAACGGAAGGGACCATAGTCACTTTGAGCCAGTTTACTACCCTTGAACCAGCAACAGGGCATGACCCAGATTTGCGCAGCAAAACCACCAGGTTGCACAATTCCCATCCGTTTGATTTGCACTCTGGCAAATCTCAAAGCACCCTGCTTGTCGCCCTGAGCCGCTTCCATACACTTGCCCGCATGTGTAAGGACCGTCAGACCGTCATGCACCTGAGGTTGCAGGGGCGAGAGAGCCAGTGACCTGCACCTCAGTGACACCGTCGTGGGGCAACGAGACCACAAGCACCGATGACAAGCCCTTCAATCAAACATCGTCAACCAGTGGGTAAGAACCACACATGTGAATCGTCTGACCAAGGCCGCAGCACTATATATATATATATAGTTTGAAACGTTGACAAACCACCGTCATGAAGTTCTTTCCTTTTCCACAGGCTGAAAGATGGTGTTTGCATGCGGAAGGGGGCCGCGTTTTTTTGGTCGCTCTCGTGTGTTTGAGGTACGAGAAGAGAATGCCCAGCCCAGGACACCGCAGGACAGGGATTGATTCCGTCTCTTTCCTTCAGGCCGCAACTCAATGCTAGCCACTGCTCTGGCATCTTCTCCTGGTGCCGCGGCCGCGGCTCTGAAAGTCCGAGACGGCAGAAGCGTTGAACGTGTGGGCAATCCGACCGAGCTCGGTCTCGGCAGAAGTCGAAGTACTGAACTCCAGGAATGGAACGGCTGCCACTCCAAAACTTGTGGTAAAACAGAAGGGTTCGCCCCAATTCTCCTGGGGACTTGAGCCGTTTGGGCTCTGAGGGTGTTGTCTTTAGCGTCCAGTCGTGGTTCCATGTGGTTCGTTGTTGTCACGCAAAAGAGTTCGGTGAACCTGCAAACACACGGTATAGCCTGCTGCGACAGACTCAACAAATTCACTGCATAGTATACTGGCCGTGGTTTGGACCAAGTGGTTGATCGAGAAGGATGAGAAGGGAGCAAATGCGGCATAATGCGGCACCTTACATAGACTTTCAAGAGGGGAGCTTGGGCAGTTGTATGCAATGTCTAGGGTGCTTCGACCGAGTTTTCACCAGGTGCAGCAAAAGCGTCTGTCCACCAAAATGATTCTGAGTGCCTGAGTGAGTGTGCGGGTGAATGCATAAGTTGATTGAGGGGTTCTTTGTTGCTGGCTTGAACATGGGCTCCCCTGGAAAAGGCGAATAAATCGACCACGCAGGTGGTCTATTTCTTACGCCTTCCTTTGTTCAAAGCAAGTAAAGCTGCTTTGGTCTGCCCAAAGGGAGTGCCAATTCACCCGTGGGCAAAGAACACCCCGAGATGGCATCGCTCCTTTGTGTGGTGCCCTCCGAATGATCCAAGCGCGTGTGGGGGGGCTTGAAAGCCCCCCCTGTGGAAGGTTCCAATGCGCGGTGTGGGCGGTACTTTGGCACTTTCCTACTCAACACCACCTGAGACCCCTCCTTTTCACCACTTGGTGTTCAGAACACTCTTATGCAGATCAGGACCACCTCTACTACCACCACGCCATTGCCTAACGGAGCAGCTTGCATCCAGCTGGCCCAGCTCCGTCATCCTCCAACCATTGGAGTCCACCGGAGTAATGGGCATCATCTTTCAACCCACCGACCCCCTCGTTTCCATCTCTCACGTCTGCTACCGTCTGCTTCTTCTCACCCCGGTCTCAAACGCCGGTCGTGGCTCCGGTCTCCTCGAAGGGCGACAGGTCGGGCCAAAAGAGCGCGCCCGTGGCGCGGTACTGCGGCCTCGGTGGGGACACGGAGGTGCTCCGGACACGATGGGCACGGTGGGGACGGTGGGGTCGGTCGTGTGGTGTGGGCGAAAAGAAGGAGGTGTGTGGTGGTTGGAGTGCACGGAGGGAGGGGTGGAGATGGGTGGAGGGATGGCTATACCTTTAGGCTGTTTGAGAGAAGATAGATCATCAACAAAAGAAAGAGGGTCAGTAATTAGCTAATAAAAGACGGTCCATGACCGTTCAAAGAACGACTCCCCTACACTTTGGACTCTGGACATCCTGGTCAAAAACCATCCCAGTTGGGAGGAATTTGGTCCGAGAATCTGCCTGTGAGGACGCACCTTTTTCAGGAGGACACGCGTTGCACACGTTGGCACCCCTTGGTCTGGTTTTGTCAGCCTCTCATAAGACTGTCAAGCGGAAGAACGACGCTTGTTGACGTTTGTGACAGCATTTTGGGGCCAGCAACCAACACGTGGCCCTTTCCTCTCATGTTCTGGATCCATTGGGGAACGAAACAAAATATGGTCGGTTCCTAGCGCACCGAAGGAAGTCGCAAAAACATCCACGGTCTGCTGTCGTGTCCCGATGCCCTTTTTCAAGCAGGGACCTTGCACTTGATTGTTGTGAGGTCACTGAACTCATAGTGTCATAGACCCTCCCCATTGCCTCTCATCTCATCAATCATAGAGGTCACTCGTCAAATCATGAGAGGCGGCACTTTTCACCTCTTTCCTCATTCCAATCCACTGCGGTCCGCGTGGCTCGTCGAAGAGAAAGCTGGGATCCACTGCAGGGAGGTTGTCCTCGGCGCAACTCCCTCTCGACCCCACCACAGTCGGCCCCGTGGTGTGAGGGTTGACCCATTCAAGCGAGGTGTGAAATTTGTCCGTTATAGACTGTAGCCGCGAGAAGTATGGCCCTACACCCCCAAATAGAATCCAAGGTTGGCACAGATCTTAACATCACTTGGTGCCCTAGTCGAAAAAAAGCCACGGCAGATTGTGGATCTTAAACCCCCATCTATACGGATCCAATCCCTAGAGTCCTAGAGATCCAAGTGCCTTCTCAGAAGGTACGACTGGACCCTCCTGGCACCTACATAACAGTGTCAAACATCCTCACCTAACCTGACAAGGTACGACTGGATCCCTAGGGAATGGCCCTTTCCCAAGGTTCACATCCAGCAGATGCTGTGTGGAGTGGTGGATCCAACTTCGCCCACCGGCAGGGGGAGACGCTCATTTGATTTCTGACGATTCACTCATGGATTTGTGTAGGATATCATCAGGATATGGTGCAATCAACCAGGTGTTATAGCTGTTACCTCACGGGTGCAGTCACTTGTCGCCTCACTGGCTACAAGTGAAATAGACTCACAAAAAAGACAGATTAGAAATCTGCCCATGAAATCGAGCCCCTGAACAGTTTCACCATGTGCCATGTGCCTTCAGGCCGATTGAACTCCAATGTCCACCACACCTCAGATGAACCGGTCTGCCGCCCTTTCCGCCCAGCTTCAGCGTCCAACAAGAGGACCTCTTGAAAGTCGCTGCCCAGAACGGCCAACGGTTTCACCTGGAGACGTACCGGACCTCTCAGGCGGTCAGAAGGGCCCTCCGGTCTCTTCGGTTGCTTCATCGTGTGACCTAGTTTATTGACCCGGTAGTGTACTAATCTTCTTTAGGGTTGTTGGATATGATTCCAGTGATCTAGTTTCTTCTTGATCGTGTTTCTATTAGCTTCTTTGCTCCGTTCGTAGGGCCAGGAGCCGCGTTCGAAGCGTCCTTGTTCCGTTCGTAGCGAGGCCAGGAGCCCCGTTCGTAGCTTCTTTGGTCCATGTGTTGATCCATGACTCCCACACGGAACTCTGCATGAAAAGAAGTCGCACGGATTTTCAGCAGACTTTCAGATTGCTGTCTGCACCACAGATGTCCACTGAGGAGGTCTTCGGCTTTTTGGATCCAGCAAATGCATGGCGAACTGTTTAGGAACGGACTGGTTGCTGCGCGGAGATTCCGATGAAGCTCCACATGAGGATTTCTCAAATGCCAATCAGCCGGACCTTGACAGCCAACACCCGAACCTCTCACCTTTAGTCTAACTTTAATAGAAAAATACAGACCAAGTTGACCAATTCTTTGGTAGAAAAACCTGTGTTTCTTCCTTAACTGGACTTGGCAGAACCACCTGAACGACCCGAAACCTCTCTCCCTCCGGGGTGTTGCCCTCAGCCCCCCGACAGCCCAGATGTCGGGCCGGCACCGTGGGATCCCTGCCTTCCGACCGGAGAGGATGGTGCTCGATCGAGGAGCGGATGGTGCTCGACGGAAAGCCTGGTGTTCTTTGGGATCATATCTCTATTGATGTACTTGTACTCTTTGTGTATGTGTGTTTCTTTTAATGGTGAATCCCTCCTAGCTGTTCATGATGAATCGTTCACCGTCACTATATAGTTGAACGAGTTGTCCACGAACACCAGAGTAGTAGGTATGTACGAGTTGGTCAAGTGAGCATCGACAGTTGTCGGTGATACGCTGCACTGCACTTGGGAGTTGTCCAAGAATCCTTTTCACGGAAGCGGCCCGTCTTCTAAAAAAGAATCATGCCCTTGCTCGAAAAAAAGAGGCATGGACTGTGCCTGTGAGTTATGGATAGCCAGTCTGACAAACCTTGGATTTGCTGTAGTCAGAAGTCTGATAAGAAAAGATCTTGCGGATTCGGACGGCGAATACTCTGAGTGTTCTGGAAGATCCCATGCATCACTTCAGTCCAAGAAACTGGCCTTAAGAACAGAACCCAAAGTTTTGGGGCTCCAGTCGGCCCGAGGAAAAGGCCATCAGCCTTCCGGGTCGACAACAACCCCCAGCTCTTGCAGCTCCGGAAGTATCTTTCCGCCATCCCCAGTCCAGAGCTAGAAGATCCTTTACCAGCACCACCCAAGGGGTAGTTATTAGATGGAACATACATCTCCAGTGGGGTCTAACATGGTCTAACCAACCAGGTCTGGGTGGTGCTGGTATACAAAGCTGGTTTCTCACGACGTCCGCGATCCTTTTCCAGTCCGTCTCGGCCGCACCGGCAGCTGCCGCAGCCGCGTGTCCCGCGGCCACGCGACCTGTTGCAGCTCCGGGGCCTCGACGCGGACCGTTCGACGCCGAACGGAGACGACCTACGTCAGTGAACTGGAAGGTCATCATTGATTGGAGCATACCTGGGGTATATCGGGTATATCCCATTGCCAGGGCCTGTAAAGGCCTTTCCCAAACTCACACAAAAAGGGTAACTTTATGTAATTTGTTACCGACTATATAGTGCTAAGGGGCTACATCCCAGTCATACCAACTGCGCCCTCCCCCGCACCTCCTCCCGCTTATTTAAACATAAGCAGGTCACTCAAAACACAACCAGCAAACGAGTTTGCAAGTGACTGGCCTGCAAAGCATTTGACCCTCAAACACTTCACAGAAAAAAGGACCTGGACACAAAAACAACGCTGGGTGATTGGCTTTTCAGCGCGGGGATGCTCAATATAAATATATGGGGGTTGTTCAAAAGTCCTTTCATTTTTTCCAGGCCTTTCGCAGGACCTTCGCGAAGCTTTCGCAAGCTTTCGCGCGTGGGGTTTTACCACTGTCGGCGAAAATGGTTTTTCGTTGGGGCTAGAGGCTTTCAAGGATTCATGCAGTTGCCCTGGCACGTCTTGTGTCCTCTGATCACTGACACATTGATTGCTGAGGAACAGGAAGCCAGCCAACCAAGCAGTTTTCATGTTGGTGTGTTTTTGGTTGGGCACAACCCTCCATGAACAAGAGACGGCTCAGTCAGGCCAGTTTGCTCAGACTTCCAATTTGCTTTTTCCCGGGCCGGGAAAAAGCAAAATGGTTCAGACTTCGAATTTGCTTTTTCCGGGGCCGGGAAAAAAGCAAAATGGTTCAGACTTCGAATTTGCTTATGGTTCAGACTTCCAATTTGCTTTTTTCCAAGCCGGGAAAAAGCGGGAAAAAGCAAAATGGTTCAGACTTCCAATGGTTCAGACTTCCAATTCGGGAAAAAGCAAAATGTAAATGTATCAGACTTGCAGTTTGGAATCCGGCCTGGAAACAAGCAGCGCCTGTGGGACTCGAGCCCACGAGCTTCTGCTTATGAGCCTGGCGCCTTATCCATTAGGCCACTGCTCTCTGAAAAACATGCTTTTTCCAGGCTTTAGAAAAGAAAATTGGAACCGCACGCTGGAGTCACCGACCGTGTTGTATGCGCACTTACAGCTGTAGAACCAACCACCTCACCTCACATACCCTCACCTCACATACCTGCACTTGTGGGCATGCTATGAGTGCATCTGCAGCTGGAGTGTCCAGCGCGTGCTTCCAGCAAGAAGAGTGGAGTGGGGTGGGGTTTGGCCCCGTCGTCTTTCGCGTCCACAATGCGAACCTTTCGCCATACTTGCGCAGTTTCCCACGACAAAGAATTTTCCAAGGGTCGGGAAAAAGCAATTGGAAATGTATCAGACTT